CCCCCCCCACCCAAGCTTGTAAAATTTCAAATAGAGATTTATTAACAGGTGCCCCAGATCCGATCAACTCCGCCTTCCACCTGACCTACAACATGGTTCTGAACCTACTGAGGGTGGAGGAGGTGAACCCGGAGTATATGATGGAGAGAAGCTTTCATCAATTCCAAAACTATTCAACTATTCCACAGGTCAACAGATTATTAAATAGATATTATCAGATTCTCAGGGTGTATATTTTCTTCAAAAATCATCCCTCTTCCTCTCTTTACAATAATGTTTTCCCCGAGATGTTAGGTATGTTTTTAGGCGAAAATGAATTAATTTTTTGGTCAGGGTATAGACATCGCTTAAGATCCATTTAATTTTGATACGGATCCGGATCCTAAATCCGCACTGGAAAAAAATGGATTTGGGTCTAAATTTGGATCCAGGTCATGCACTTTTCGTAAAGATGGTTTTAACAGAAGAAGAATTTTCAAATTATTTTTTTATGCTAAAACTTGATGAAACATTTAGATGTTTTGAAATTTCTCTTTTAACAGTTACAAATTGGCGTTTGAGAGCAAAAGATTTTTGTTTGCAGTTTTTGGTTGATATTTTGCCCCTTGGATCCGGATCCGTGGATCAGCATATTTTTGCGGATTCGAATCCGGATCCAGGAAGCCAAAAAATTGCAGATAGAAAAGATCCGGATCCTGGATCCTTGATCCGTCCTGTAATAATTTGGATCCAGATTCACCAACTTAAGAAATTTTCCAATATGTGGTTTAAAACAACAGCGTTGGCCCTTAAAAGCTTTGTATGATAAAGAATGAAGAAGATATCTGAGGCTTTTAACTTTTAAAAGTGTTTTTTTTTCAATTGACGTTTTTCTATAAATAAATAAATAAAAGATCAACCATCATTCCGTGGAAATCAAGGAAAGTAACTTGCGGACTTATGCTGCAGAAACAAAGGAAAAATTTGAAAAGCTATATTTATGACGATTTCTTTCACATTTTTGATCAGATAAAGATTATTAGATTACAATTGTGTATCGGACTTATCCCTCTTTGAAATGGAGGGTCACGTGACAAAGAGTTTTTTAATGATATTTGCAAAATTTGTGAAATCAAAAAAAATTTTATTTCAGGTTTATGAGAAGGTGAAGAAGCTTGAAGGGCAGGTGGCTGGTTTGAGCGTGGAGAAGGAGGAGGAGGTGGCCAGCTACGTCAGGCTCCGGGATCAGCTGACAAAGCTTGGGGAGGAGTTCCACGGATTTCTTACAGATCCTCAGTATATCGTCCGGTTCATGAACGCGGGTCGTCTGATCAAGGTGAAGAATCAGGATCAGGACTTTGGTTGGGGTGCAGTGTGCCACCTCGAGAAGATCAAATCCACGACCACCAGCGAGGAGCAGCTGATGGCGAAGGTTCTCCTCCATGTGAGCAAGGATAGTGCCAACACCAAGGTTGCGTCCGAGCTCCGTGCCGTGAAACCTGGAGAGAAAGGAGAGATGACTATGGTTACAATTCTCTTCTCTTTAATCCAACAAATCTCAAGTGCAAGAATATATATCCCGGACGATCTGAAATCTCTGGACAAACGAATGGCGGTTTTGAACGCGATCAAGGAGGTTCAGAGACGATGCGAGAACAAGATTCCCCTGGTAGACCCGGAGAAGGATATGAAGATAAATTCTCCAGAGTTCAAGAACGTTGTCAAGAAAATTAAAACCTTTGAGAAAAGATTACAGAAACACTCTCTGAATGAACATCCTGATCTTGCAAACCTTATGGAGCAGTGGAAAACCAAGAATGCCGTCACATCGGAGTTAATCGCGGCCAAACATCATCTCAAGAAATCTAAATCCTTGTTACAGATGGACGATTTGAAGTGCATGAAGAGGGTGCTACGTCGACTGAACTACTGCAGCGCCAGCGACGTGATAGAGATCAAGGGACGGATAGCGTGTGAGTTGAGTTCGGCTGACGAGCTTCTACTCACAGAGATGATGTTTAACGGACTTTTCAACCCGTTGAACCCGCCTCAGGTCGCGGCCATCCTCAGTTGTTTTGTGTGCTCGGAGAAGTCGAGTGAGATGCCGAAACTAACAGATTCTCTCTCCGGTCCTCTGAGAACTATGCAGGATATGGCCAGAAATATTGCAAAGTAAGTTTACTGCTTTTAGGGGGGAAAAATTGAAAACTTAAAGTATTTTTGTTGAACAATATTTTATATCTAGCAAAGATAAATATATTTTGTATCTAGGGTGTCCAAGGAGACAAAGATAGAATATTCTATATCTAGGGTGTCCATGGAGACAAAGGTAGAAATAATATAGTTTATATCTAGGGTGTCCAAGGAGGCAAAGATAGAATATATTTTATATCTAAGGTGTCCAAGGAGGAAAAGATAGAATATATTTTGTATCTAGGGTGTCCAAGGAGGCACAGATAGAATATTTTTATATCTAGGGTGTCCAAGATAGCAAAGATAGAATATATTTTGTATCCAGGGTGTCCAAGGTGGCAAAGATGGAATATATTTTGTATCCAGGGTGTCCAAGAAGGCAAGGATAAAATATTTTTTGTATCCAGGGTGTCTAAGGAGGCAAAGATAGAATATATTTTGTATTGTAGGGTGTCCAAGGAGGCAAAGATGGAATATATTTTGTGTCTAGGGTGTCCAAGAAGGCAAGGATAAAATATNGAGCTAGAGGAGGATGAGTATGTTGAGAGGTTTAAACCCTTTATGATGGATATTGTCCACGAATGGACCAAGGGCGCCTCCTTCAAGGATATTATCAAGATGACAGATATGTTTGAGGTATAAAACATTTTTTATAAATAAATTTTTTTCTGTAAATTTATGAATTCTGAAGAATTCTATAAAAATAATTAAAATGAAAATTCAATATTTTTATGTTTTTTTAGATTTTTTTTGTAACCCTGAATCTTTACTTGTCCCATATGTTGTTGTTCTCTTTATGAAAGGAATTTAATTTTGCCTCTAACTCAAATTTTTGTAACCTTATGGTGTAAACATTCTTTATTTCAAATTGAGACTTATTTAGCAAAATTCATAGTTTAATATATATCAAAGGTTTGCGACATTAGATTGCAGAGATATATAGGTTTAAAAAACTGAGTTTATGACAAGAACTCAGTTCCTTTCTATCTTTTGAAATAGTTCCTGTTTAATTTAATATTTTTCATCTTCTGTAATTTAAAACAAAGTATTTCTTTCATTGAATTTCTATTTTCTAGGGAAGTATTATCCGATCTATGAGACTGCTAGAGGAATTACTCCGTCAGATGGTTCAAGCCTCAAAGAATATCGGGAACACGGAGTTAGAGAATAAGTTCTCCGAGTCGATCAAACTTCTCAAACGAGATATCGTCTTTGCCGCCAGTCTTTATCTGTGATATGTTTTTTTCTTTCTCAACAATAAAATTTGTAAATTGTTTCTCGGACTTTATGTATTTTTTTGGCGCATTTTACATTTTCGATATTATTTTTCTGTTCAAATTGTACATGGTTTTCGTGAACCAAACAGTGCAGGTCACGAACCAATTTTAGTTTAAAAACTATACAATACTAAATGATTTTTGTTAAACGAAAACAGAAAATATGGTTATTACATGTTCAGAAAATTGTTTTGAAGCTATAACTTTATGTGATTCTATGCTAAGTTTTTTTTACTGTACTTGCCACATTCACTTATTGGATGTTTGTAAAGTTGGATAAAAATGTTTACAACCGTGAAAAGATATGATAAAATTAAAAGGGTTTAAAAGGAGTTCACGCTCTACTCTCTCCTTCAGAAGAAATTTATAATTTATAATTTCTTCTTTCATTAAAATATGGTGAAAAATTGAAGAATTTAATTCAGGAACTAAGAGCCTCGAGAAACTTCTTTACCGTGTCAGTCAAACCTTGAAAATGTCAGGTTCTAAGAATTGCAATGAGGACGCACTTCGGAGACAGGAAAATACGGAACCTGAGATCTCTATCTTGTCAAGAGCAGAAAACAAATCGTCCGAACCTGAATCACAGATATCTCGAGATAAAACGGATTTGAAACATTCTGAACTCGAATCAATTAAAATTAATGATTGTTTCTCCGAACCTGAACCCTCGATATCTCTCCGTGTCTTCGATCCCAATATTACCAAGTTGGATTTAAGTTCACAGAACCTATTGGAGCTTGATTCAAGTATATCCAACCTTATTCAACTGCAGGGTAATCTCGAAACTAAAGTACTTAATTTTTTCTACACAGGGTGGCCCATAAAGGATAAGACGACTGTACGGAATTGATTCAGTCTTTTTTCTTTCATCCGTAATTTTGTTTATTTCTTTGCCAAATCATTAAATATACCTGCATAAAACTATATTTTATGCTAACAACTTTAAGACCGTTAAAATCTAAATAGTTTATTGTTGTAATTAAATTAAAATCCTTTGTGGGTAACCCTGTTTCATTATCCTTGTTCTCAATCCAGTCCAAGGTTATACTACAAGGAAAGTTATTTTAGAGGTGTACGCATCTTTTGTACTGCAGTGTACTGTCTCATGGGCGGTAATGTAAACACAAATCGGATGTCTAGCTTGACATGGGATCCATCTTTCACATAAAAAAAAATCAATGAAATATTCTTGGCATAGGAAACTATTATGTGAATTATCAAAATGATCAAAATTTATTGCGTTTAACCTTGCTTCTTGCTTTCAAATTCCGCCCAGAGAGAACTGGTTTCAATATGTACGCAGAGTTTACGAAACTTAACTTTCCTTGCATTATAACCTTGATCAACTCGCTCCTTGAATAAATTATAGGAAAAATCTAAGTCTGGAAAAAGTTTTTCATTTGAGGATTTTTTCTAACTTTAACATTTTTGAGAGAACCATTAATAGATTTGAACCTAGCCTCTAACAACCTGAAAACCTTTCCTTCGGAAATCTTAAACCTAAAACTTCTCAGGGTTCTTAATCTTGCCCAGAACAATATTACAGGGAGATAAAATACTCGAAATCTGAGGCCATTTAACTTTTGTGTGAAATAGCGCTAATCTACAACGCTTTTAAACTGGAGGGAAAAGTGCCTGATAAAAGAGATGTTATTTTGATCCGTAGGACTGCTTCATCCCGAGATTTGGGACATAAAAGTGTTGATTTTAAAAAATTAGAGCTGAAAACTTTAAAATGGTGGATATCGAGATTAATGCTTGATCCTCTCTTTTTCTTAATATCGAGACTAACAATCTTGTACTTATAAACTGAAAAGTGTAAAAAATTCAACCAATCAGAGTCGCAAACAAGTCGCCGATAAACTTAAAATTTTGCGCGCCATTTAAGATAAAAATACAGAAACGGGAGGGCTCTCTGATTTTAAAATATCGGTTTTTGATTTTTCTCTACTATATCCAAGAAAGAACGGTTTAAGAAGAAAATCAAAAGTGTTTCCATTGGATACTCATTAAATAATCGGGATTAAGGATATCTCATTCTTAAGTTTTCAGTTCTGAATTTATCAAAAGAAATTTTAAACCTAATTTCATTAAAGAAAAGGTAACATTAGCATTACTCTTTAAATCTTTTTTAAGGTATCGATGAAACGTTTTTGGTATCCGCATTTCTTAAAACTAACTCGCGGATTTATAGAAAAAAATATCTCAGGAATTGTATGTGAAATAGATTAATTATGTTACTCAGAAAAATGAAGAATAAAATTCATAAAGTTATAAACTCTTCGCAAATGAAATTATCTTTGATGAAAGCTTAAGTTTAATAATGTTTTCGAAATATTTTATAATTTAAATCACATATAACTTAAATTTTAATAATGCAATATTTTGGTATCTCAGAAGCAAGGTTGGATTTCTCTGATCTCATCCATCTGGAATTCCTGGATATCAAAGAAAACCTTCTCCAGTACATCCCGGGAAATTTGGAGGATTTACAGAGTTTGAAATATCTAGATTTATCCTACAACAAGCTCCGTAATCTTCCGGAATACTTCCAGAGTAACCTGGAGACACTGATCCTGGATGGAAACGAACTGAAAGACCAAACTAAACTCCCAACCTGGATTATTAAGCAGAACGCGTTGCAAATCCTCTCCCTCGCCGCGGTTTGGTTTAAGGAGTTGATAGATGTATTTATCGGAGATATTAGTTTAAATAACCTTGTCAAACTTGATCTGAGATGTTCAAATATAGATCTGATTCCACAGTCCTTGACGTACCTGGAGAACCTTGAAGTTCTTGAACTTGGGAATTGTCGAGATATCATGGATAATGCCTTGACGCACTGGAACAGGACTAAATGCTCTTTCGAGGTTAGCTTCAGTTTTACACTTCATTTTGAATTCAAGAATTAATTTTTGATAATATTTTTTATTCTTAATACAAGACTGGGATGTATATGTTTTGTAGTAACCCGTCCACAGGCTGATGATTAAGAACCCTTCTAAGGCCGACTACGAAAGTAGAACATTTCTTTTCAAAAGATGAAATCAAAGCTTGTTCTGAATTTTAACTTCTGTTTTTTTGTTTGTTTATTTTTACTTTGACTTGAAGGAACTGTAGACGTAATTTCAAGTGACCCCTCATGTAAAGAATGGGATGTCCGATGCACATTGGTGCCATTGAAACCACTATATTTCCAAGGTTATAATGCAAGGAAAGTTAATTGCTGTTGCGTATACTCTGCGTACATGTTGAAACCAGTTCTCTCTGGGCGGAATTTGTAAACAAGAATAGATGCATCAGTGTTCGTTTAGTATCCGAGGAGGTTAACAGTATTAAATTTTTATAATTTTGATAATTCACATAATAGTTTCCTATGATCAGAATATTTCATTGATTTTTTATGTGAAAGATGGATCCCATGTCACGCTTCGACCCCCGTCTCGTGTTTACATTACCGCCCAGAGACAGTGCACTGCAGTATAAAAGATGCTTACACCTCTGAAATAACTTCCCTTGCATTATATCCTTGTATATATCTATCAATAAGGAAGATTTCGTCTTTTTTTCTGTCGAGGAAAGCGTTGAACTTTGTAATTTCCTCCATGTGAATGAAGTTATTTTATTAGAGATACCACGATCGGAAAGAATCCATTTCTAGCTAGAGAAATAAAGTTAAAAGGGTACGCATGTGAATTTAACATGCTAGTCTTTTTTAAAAAAAAAAGGAAGCAACTGAAAAAAACGATACAACCTCTTTAAAGAGGTATTTGATTTTTAAGCCTTTGTAATCATAGAATATTCTGTTAAAACTGCATGAAATTTTCTATAGAATTTTATTTTATAGAATACATAGTTGGAAATATCTAAGGTCTGCGACATCTGGTTGCAAAGCTATAGGGATTAAAACAACTAGAGTTTGTGGCAAGATCTTAGTTCCTTTCTAAGCCTTAACATATAGTTTCTCATTCTTTCTGATTGATAATGAAAAATTGAAATTTATTTCCTACAGAAAATTAACACTTTTAACCAATACGGGTTTTTACAGTTTTTTTTCATTCTTTTTTTTTCTACAGTGAAACCCTTAATAACGAATACATCGGAAGAATTTTTCAAATGTCGTCTTGACAATTTTTCAATGAGTTTTATACTATATTACGTAAATTTCAGTATTTGCGAAAATAAATAAATAGCCATGAATATGCGGAAACAGTTTTAAAGAGTTCCATATAATCATTTAATTAAAAAAATAAATATCTGCAACATTCCATCATCAGAAAGAGAAGAATACGACATTTGATGAATTCTTTCGATGTATTCGTTATTAAGGGTTTCACTGTATTAGATGAGGAACGAAATTCACAATCTGCCGAAGTTTGTCAAACTGTCGAACCTAACCACTCTCTCAGCGGAGAACCTGAATCTGCAATCTGTCCCTGAGAGTATCCATATCCTTGTAAACCTAGAGAACCTAAACCTTTCCGGGAACTTTATTGAGGAGCTACCCCCCGGGATCCTGGAGCTTGGAAACCTGAAGTTTCTGAACCTGAACCTTAATAAACTCTGGAGTATTCCGTCCTCACTGTTCATGAAGCTCAGCCAGCTACGCCATGCTCTACTCGCGAGAAACAACCTTTACGAAATCCCTGAGCTGAATGGAGATATCGGTACATACTTCTGTACATATTTATATACTTACGATACCCAAAGTACCGTACATAACTAATTACTCGCCTTAAACTCTAGTTTTAATCCCTTCTGTCTTTGCAACCTCCTCTCGGATATCACATGGTGATCATACCATGCAAGGATAAATTCTTTACAGTTCCTAACTCTGGCAGAATTCATGTTAAAATATCAAAGTTGTACGATATCAGGTTGGGAAGACTAGAAAGGAATTGAGTTTTTGCCACAAACTCTGATTTTCTAATCTCCATATCTTTGTAACCCAATGTCGTAGACCATAGATATTTCAAACTATTAATACTAATAGGTAAAATAATCTAAGTTTGAAATATCAAAGGTTTGCACCATCAGATTGAAAAGATATTGGGATCAGAAGATTTGAGTTTGTGGCAAAAACTCAATTCCTTTAGAGCTTGAGTAATTAGTTCCGTTGTAAAATCATACCTCTTTTCCCAAACATCGACAGTTGATAAAATACCATATGAGAAATAGTCATTTTGAAACATTTTTCTTGGGATAAAGAACATGAGAATATATTGTTTGACTTTTGGAAATTAGACACTTGGGATAAAGGACATGAAAATATGAGTTTTGGGAATTAGACATTTTGGAAAAAGGACAGATAAAAATGACCAGAGCGGGGAACTTTAGAATGGTGGATATCGGGATTAATGCTTGATCCTCTCTTTTTCTTAATCTCCAGATTTAAAATAGCTTGTTCTCCTTATGATATTAATCTCCAGATTAATTAACAGATCGGGATTAAGGATATCCCATTATGAAGTTTTCAACTCTGGATATCTATATATATGTATCTAGAACTAGAAGCCCTGGATATCTATATATTTGTATCTAAAACTAGAAACCCTAGATATCTATATATTTGTATCTAGAACTGGAAACCCTGGATATCTATATATTTGTATTTACAACTATAGAAACCTGGATATCTATATATTTGTATCTAGAACTGGAAACCCTGGATATTAATATGCTTGTATCTAGAACTGGAAACCCTAGATATCTATATATTTGTATCTGGAACTAGAAACCCTGGATATCTATAAACTTGTATCTAGAACTAGTAACTCTGGATATCTATATATTTGTATTTAGAACTAGAAACCCTGGATATCTATATATTTGTATTTAGAACTGGAAACCCTAGATATCTATGGAAACCTTCTAGAAGAAGTTCCAGAGATGGTATTTAAACTAGAAAGCCTAGTTAGGTTGGACCTAGGAGGGATGATTCATATCAACAGTAAAGCAATAGAAGATATAGGAGAAGGTAGGGTTTAAACTCAAGTGTTTTTATTGTCTTTTGAAAAATCATTCTCTCCTTATAAGAATTAAATTTTACCCCAGAAGTGTGACATATTTATGCGGCGACAAATTTTTTTAGGGTTTTGTTGGCCGAATTGAGGATAAAGAAATGATTTTTTGGGTAGAAAGTATCTAAAAGGATGAAAAACTTGCATCTTGATGTTCTATTTTTCATTTTTTTCCCCTAGAGAATTAAAACCTTTGTAATTCTTAATAATATAAAAACCCTGTTTAAACACTCATCCATACGTCATACGTGCTTATATTTTTGAAATTATTTCCCCGCTAAAACTTAAACTAAAACCTTGTACATTAGTATTTAGGGTACCTGGAGAAGTACAGATTAATACCTAGTACTATTTATGGTACCTGGAGAAGTATTGATTAAAACCTAGTACTATTTAGGGTACCTGGAGAAGTACAGATTAATACCTAGTACTATTTATGGTACCTGGAGAAGTATGGATTAAAACCTAGTACTATTTACGATACCTGGATAAGTATTAATTAAAACCCAGTACTATTTAGGGTACCTGGATAAGTATTAATTAAAACCCAGTACTATTTAGGGTTCCTTAAGAAGTATTAATTAAAACCTAGTACTATTTAGGATACCTGGAGAAGTATTAATTAAAACCTAGTACAAGTTAGGGTACATGGAGGAGTATTGATTAGAACTTAGTTACTATTTAGGGTATTGACTATAAACTAGTACTATTTATTATACATGGAGAAGTATTTATTAAAACCTAGTACTATTTAGGGTACCTGGAGAAGTATGAGCAACTGCGTGAGAACTATAAAACCTGGGATCATAGCGACAAGGTTTAGGTTTAGAGAAAACAAAAAAGCGCTAAAATGTCGTGGAATTCAGTTTTCCGTATTTGTTGATAAAAAAATTCAAAAAGTTAAGAAATTAATCTGATCATTTAATCTGCAGATTAAATATTGCTTGTTCTCCACTCATTTTTAATCTCCAGATTAATTATCCGATCAGGATTAAGGATATCCCATTCAAAAGTTCCCATCTCAGGAGATTAAAAATGAGAGGAGAACAAGCAATATTTAATCTGGAGATTAAGAAAAAGAGTGGATTAAGCATTAATCCCTATATCCACCATTCTAAAGTTTTCAGCTCAGGACACATTTTTATCTCAATTTCTGCTCCGAACCTTCAAAAATTAGTCTTTCGAGAGAACGGAAAAGTCTGTGATGGCCGAATCTGAAGAAAGTGTTAAACGGTATTATTTCAACGAACTGGAAGAAGAAGAAGAAGAAGAATATGTTGAGGTAATTTTTAAAGACAGGAATTTAGTCTTTGCCACAAACTCAAATTTTCCAATCTCAATATCCACTGTCCACATTTATCTCCGATGTTTGTTAATTAGGCGGTAGACATAATTGGTGAATTTGGGGCCGGTAGGATGAGTTGGGACCGAGCGCTGCGGCTAGATCATGCTTGGGAAATTGTCGCTTGGGAAGTTGCCGTTTGGGAAATTGCACATTTGGGAAGTTGCCAGTTGGGAAAAATACCTTTGGGAAAGCACCTCGGTCGTCCTATATATGCTTAGTCTTATAAACTGTCCTATATATATGCTTAGTCCTTATACACTGTCCTATATATGCTTAGTCTTATACACTGTCCTATATATATGCTTAGTCTTATACCCTGTCCTATATATATGCTTAGCCCTTATACACTGTACTATATATATGCTTAGTCTTATACACTGTCCTATATATATATATGCTTAGTCTTATATGCTTATTCTTATACAATGTCCTATATATGCTCAGTCTTATACACGGTCCTATATATGCTTAGTCTTATACACTGTCCTATATATATGCTTAGTCCTTATACACTGTCCTATATATATGCTTAGTCTTATATACTGTCATATATATATGCTTAGTCCTTATACACTGTCCTATATATATGCTTAGTCCATATACACTGGCCTACACTGTCCTATATATGCTTAGTCTTACACACTGTCCTATATACGCTTAGTCCTTAACACTGTCTTATATACGCTTAGTCCTTATACACTGTCCTATATGCTTAAAGGTATTGCAGAAAGGAGACTGTTAATGTTAATTCTTTTTACAGACAAATCGGATAGAAATAAAAGTATCGCAGATTAATTCATAGTTTGATTATAATACATCCTATGCCATTTTATTTTCGCCAACACTCCCTTTAAAGTGTATAGAGGAACACCTGATAAACCAGAGACCGGGAGAAGATCATGATAGTTCGGACGCATGGGAACCAGACTCCTGGGCAATAGGTAAAAACGATACTTTTTTGAGTTTTAAAATTCTATTTTGCATCCAAGTATGTTTCAGATTAAATTGATTTATCTTTAACGACCAAACTTAGTCCTTAATTTCATTTTTTACAGTATAACTGGGAACTTTTGAATGGTGGATATCGGGATTAATGCTTAATCTCCTCCTTTTCTTATCCTCCAGATTAAATAAGGCTTGTTCTCCTCTTGTTTTTAATCTCCAGATTAATCAACTGATCGGGATTAAGGATATCCCATTCTAAAGTTCCCAGCTCTGAGCTGAAAACTTTAGAATGGTGGATATTGAGATTAATGCTTGATCCTCTTGATATCGAGACTAACCTAATCTTGTGCTTGTATCCTGAAAAGTGCATAAAATCCAACAAATCAGAGTCGCGTATACGAAGCCGATAAATTTGAAATTTTGCGCGCCATTTAAGATCAATATACAGAAACGGGAGGGACTCTCTTATTTTAAAAAACCGGTTTTTAATTTTTCTCTCTAAGAAAGAACGGTTTAAGAAGAAAATTAAAAGTGTGTCCATTGAATACTCAGATTAAGTAATCGAGATTAAGGATATCTCATTCTAAAGTGTTCAGCACTGTACTATAATTTGAGAACTTATAAATTCGAATGTATATATTTGTAGAAGCACAGAAAGAGAAGAGGAGAGCTGCAGGACAGGTTAAAATTTAAGAGCCTGAATTATTTTTTTTTAAAAATATGAAATAGAACGAACATAGAATTAAGGTCATCTACAGGGTGTCCCACATCAGTTCGGAACGTTTATGGGCGGCTCTAAATTGCAATTTTCGGGACTTATCAGAAAATTAAAAAAATTGTAAAAGCTTAATATAAAAATTTGCATGCAGAAAATGCCAAGTTTTTCTCGAGTATTGTGTGCGTATTTCAGCGTTAAATCTTGGAGATGATCAATGTGTTATGGGACGCTCTGTATATGCATAATCTCTGTTTCTCTGTTTGTTTGTTTTAATGTCAGATCATAAATTATGAACCCATGGACCGATTTGCCTCAAATTTTGACTGGGGAACTCGGTGGAACCACGGAACGTTCTTATAGCCTAGTTTTGAATTAATTCTAAAATGAGAGGGGTGACTTACAGGGAAAAATTTAGGCAAAGCTGGGTTTCCATGTCAGTTAAGTTTTGCCCAGTGTAGGCCCGGCACTCCTTCTGTTCTGCTCTGGAATACGGAGTTATGTTTACATTGAAACTAGTTTTAAACCAGCAACAGTTCATCATAGTAGAATGTAAACAAACTAAATGTGAAAATTAAAAGATATGAATCATCTAAAGTTTTTTTTTAACAAGGCGAGCACACGAATTACCAGGTTCCCACCTTTACGAACAAAACTTCTGTCAGGTTTTCAGCCTCAAGATATCTCCGAGGTCAATTCTGGAGGCTGGAAGGAGAAGAAGGACGGTCTAGAGGACGGGATAGATGAAACCAATTCGAGATTTTGTCCGGCAGATTTTCATGCGAAGTCTATCACAGATGATGGGATTGTTGCCAGGTGAAGAAACATGAGTGAAAATGAATTATTAATTAGAAATATAAAAATCATATGTTTAGAGGAACGCATTAAACTGTGAAATGTGAAAACTATTTTAAATATAGCCAAATAAACATGAAACACGGCAATTGCGCCATGTGCAATATACACAGACCCATTTCACTTAAAAAGTTGATTTCAAAGCTACCGGTGAAGCTAATTGCTTTTAACAACATAAAATACCCATAATATTGTTTAAAGGTCGTCTTCTTCTACAATTTTCTGGGTTCCACTACATTAACTCGAGTGTCCCATTAAACGTTTAAGAGACGAAGTTATCTAACATTCATAGTGGTCAGCACTCAGCATATATATCAATACATAGTAGTCAGCACTCAGCATATTTATCAATACATTGTCATGGGCAGCAATACTCAGGAAAAGTGGAGGCTTTGATTTTCATGGGGGGTTCAGCCCCCAAGGAGCGGCCAATTACCACAGCACGCCCCACCCCTCTAGTATATGTTTATTGTTTAATGTTTATGGATCTTATTATTATGCATGTTTTATGAAATTGTTTAATTTTAAATTTCGCGCGGTTTATTTTTTTAATTATCAGAGAAGATTTTTGCGGCAGTGATATATTTAAATTTGTAATTTGTTTATTTTAAAGCATTAAAATGTCAAATTCTTTGAGATAATTCATTGTGGTACTTAATTTTCAGAATACAGCCCCTGTTTTAGGTTAGTTTTAGCAATCCAGGGGGGAGGGCTAACCCCAAAAAAATCTTTGCACCTCGGGCAAATTTTAACCCCCCCCCCCCCTGGACTAAATCCTGAATACGCCTGAATACGCCTCTGTCAATATTGCAAGGAAAAAGCTTTAATGCATTCCATAGAGTCGTCTTTTAAATATCATTCTTTGTGAGTAGCCCTGACTGCACTTTTTAAATTTCTGATTTTAGAATAGTTTAAAATATGTTTTCTTATTTCAGGGTGACCTGGGAACAAGTAAAACTGGTGGTGAAACGACAATTTGAGGATTAATACAAATTGATAGGACAACATAATTCGACAGGACAACATAACAATTTAATAAGTCAACTCATTAATTCAATAAGTCAGCATAGCAATTCAATATGTCAACATATCAATTTAATAAGTCGACATATTAATTAATAAGTAAAAAACATAACATTTTTTTCAGTAAGTCAACATATTTCTTAACAATCAAAAAGAAAACGGTTAATTCATTTTCGTAAAATCGTAATAAAGAAGCTAGAAGTTTGCCCCTAGTCTAGTTCTCCCTCAAATATTTCCAAAGAGTGAATGTAACCTTCTCCTCCACATTCTCTTTTTTCTTCCCCTAATAATTGAACTAAAATTGTTTTTCAGTCTCCTCTTTAAATTTTTAATTCACCACCGTCACTGTTTAAATCGTCTTCGTTGAGTTTAAAACTTTAAACTGGATGAACGCAGCGTTTTGCGCGTTGGCGGGAATTATCTCAGTCGCTGTGATTACTTGTTGCAATTTGAGTGTCGGGGTTAATAGGAAAAGGTTTAATAAATTAAAATATGCCTGGTAACATTTTTAACAAGGTTAAATCGTGGTTCCGTCCTAGTATATGATTCTTTAGGAATTTACCACCCTTTATTTTCTACATGTTATCCCTAAAAAAGCTCTAATGATTTTTTGGTTGTCCCGTCATTCTACTATAAACGCTCTGCACGATCCTGTATCGATTAAATTCCGTCTGAGACCGTTGTTGACTTATTAAAACTGCTGTACCTGTTAGAATCTTTTGTTCAGTAGCCATTAGACAGTTGATTTGAAGAGTTCTAATCTCTTATTTTTTGTTTCATCTGTTATGTTCTTTAATGTTATCTTAGTTCTTTGGTTTTCTTTGTTTATATGCTTCAGTATTTATCCTTACTTGAATACGCAGTTCCCTGTTAATTAGCTTTAACTTTATACTTAGTTTACTTTAATAGCTTCTTATACACAGTCCATGTGATAGCTTATTATACATAGTTGTATACATATGTAAATAGCTTCTTATTCAACATACATAGTTCACTTTAAAAGCTTCTTATACACAGTCCATGTGATAGCTTATTATACATAGTTGTATACATATGTAAATAGCCCTTATTCAATATACATTGTTCACTTAAAAAGCTTCTTTTGCATAGTTCACCGTAATTATTATAAATAGCTCTTTTTAATAGCTGAAACTTAGATAAATAGTTCACTTTAATAGCTTCTTATACACAGCTAATTATTACTTAAGCTTAAGCTTAGATGCATAGTTTATTGTAATAGCTTCTTATACATAGTTCACTTTTTACAAGCTTAAGCTTAGATACATGTTCCCTGTAATAGCTTCTTATACATAGTTCACTTTTTACAGCATAAACTTAATTAATCAGGTTTCTTTTAAAAAGCTTAATCAAATGCATACAATTTTCAATTTATAGTAAATTCTTGAAATATTTAAATTTAATTCATTGCTTTATGCTTAACTAAAAATAGATTTGATGTAATTTCAATAATTTCAAGTTTCAGATAAAATGGAAGGTTTCGATGATGCTGGAGTATTTTTCTCCGACAATTTTTCTGAATCTCAGAACGTGGATGGGACTGCTAATGTTGCGGTAAAGAAGCAGTTTGTGGAGTTTCTTAGGGACTTCACCCAGGAGGGGAACTTCACCTTCAAGTACAGAGATGCCATTAAGAACAACTATCTCAGGTAAATGTACAGAGATCCCATCAAGAACAACTAGCTCAGGTAAATGTACAGAGATGCCATCAAGAACAACCAGCTCTTGTATATGTACAGAGATGCCATCAAGAACAACTAGCTCAGGTAAATGTACAGAGATGCCATCAAGAACAACTATCTCAGGTAAATGTACAGAGATGCCATTAAGAACAACTATCTCACCTTATACACTGTCCTANTTTGTTCAGAAACGAATGAATTATGAACACATTTTTGTTCTATATTTTTATCGAATTTTCGAATATCTTGGGGTAAGTGGTGGAGATGAAATACTTGTCATCAAATTAAAATTATTAATACGTTGCAAAAGAACCAAAAGCACACACTGAACAATTTAACAATACTAACTTTAATGTTTTTTAAAGGTTTTGTTTATTTAAAATTTTTGTGATGGGGATGGACCAAACCTCTGTAGAGTAAAAAAAGTAGTTGTTAGTTCCACATTTATTGAAAATTTATTTCGGTCTGGGTTGACCCTCGTCAGTTCTTGAGATTGTTTCTGTCACAAAGATTGGGAGGAGGGGGGCTGAACGATGTAGGAAAAGTACATCGGAGATAATTTAACGTTGTTTGTGTGAATAAATGATACGTCTGTAAAAATCCTTAACCCTATATTTTTTAGGCAGGAGTACAGTGTTGATGTCAGTCTAAACGACCTCGCTTCCTTCGACGGAGAACTGACGGACAGAATCCGGAGGTCCCCCTCCGACATGATGCCTCTCTTCGAGGAGGCCGCCAAGGAGATTGCCGACGAGGTCTGGATATTTAATAAAATAATATTGTTTAATCTAAATTTAAGAAATAACAGTCAGATTTCTTCTCGTTTATATTTTCGTTCTAGAAAAGTACTTTTTATAAAGCTTAACTAAAAATGCTAATTGCTTCTTTAAAGCGAGTGAAATGATAGAGACCACCGATTGTGTATTTATTCAAAAAATTATTAATTCTAAATTGTTCTTAACTTTTTCAATTATAACATTCCACAATAAATTTTGGTCAACCCTTTTATTTTAATATGATGTGTGTTCTTTGAAAGACATAAATACGGTCGCTAGATCTCTTTCGCTAGAATTTCCAACCAATACAGAGGTTTCACTTAATTCTCCGTTATACGCGATGAACGTATTTAACAAGATTAATACCATTAGATTCTGAATTAAATTCGTACTCTGCCCATACCGCCTTTAATTTTTCACAGAACAATCCTTCTAAATATAAATTTGTCTCTCCTGTTAAGGTGACCAGACCCCGCAACCCTGAAGATGAACTCCAGGATATCCATGTCACCCTGGGAAGCGACGAAACCGGAACCTCCGTCCGTAGCCTCAAGAGCGACCAGGTGTCCAAACTCGTTAAAATCCCCGGAATCATCGTCGCCGCCTCAGGAATCAAGGCCAAGGCGACTAATATTACCATCCAGTGTCGCTCTTGTCGTACTACTATCCCCAACCTGGCGATTAAACCCGGGTTTGACGGTTACTCAATGCCGCGGAAATGTAACTCCGATCAGGCTGGTCGACCTAAATGTCCCTTGGATCCGTTCTTCATCCTGCCGGATAAATGCAAGTGCGTGGATTTCCAGATTCTAAAACTTCAGGAGGCTCCGGACTCGGTTCCCCACGGAGAGATGCCGAGACACGTTCAACTCTTCCTTGAGAGGTAAATAATGTTAATATTTTTAAGTTTAAATACAAACATTTCAGGATATGCTCGTTTTTAACGGAATTGAATAGGGGTATATGTGACTTTTTACAAGCTTAAGCTTAGATACATGTTCCATTTATCTAGTCTTATATCACTGTTAAACATTATAATTCTTGCACATTTTTCTGTAACTGAAACGTTTTCCCTGTTCTATTCTGTATTTTCTTCAGGTCTCTGTGTGAGAAAGCAGTTCCTGGGAACCGTGTTTCCGTGACCGGAGTTTACTCTATACAGAAAGCTTCCACTGGTAAAGGACGGGAGAAGGGTGCTGTAGGAGTAAGAATGCCGTATCTTCGTGTTGTTGGAATCCAGGTTCAGACCGAGGGTCCCGGCCGGGCCGCCGGAAACATCACTTTCTCCGGCGAAGAGGAGGAAAAGTTTCGTCAAATGGCCGCCGATCCTGAGATTTACAACATCATCACTAAATCCATTGCTCCGTCCATCTTTGGTTCAGAGGACATCAAGAGATCTATCGCCTGCTTGTTGTTTGGAGGGAGCAGGAAGAGGTTGCCGGACGGATTAACCCGGAGAGGAGATATCAACGTTTTACTTCTTGGAGATCCAGGTACAGCTAAGTCCCAGCTTCTCAAGTTTGTTGAACGAGTATCTCCGATAGCAGTTTACACCAGCGGAAAGGGAAGCAGTGCTGCTGGTTTAACTGCTAGTGTGATGAGAGATCCATCCTCCCGCGGGTTCGTGGTCGAGGGCGGTGCTATGGTTCTCGCCGACGGTGGTGTCGTCTGCATTGACGAGTTCGATAAGATGAGAGAGGACGACAGAGTTGCAATCCACGAGGCGATGGAGCAGCAGACTATTTCTATCGCCAAAGCGGGAATTACAACCACCCTTAACAGCCGATGCTCTGTGCTGGCCGCGGCCAATTCCGTTTTCGGCCGTTGGGACGATTCCAGAGCCGAAGAGAACATCGACTTCATGCCAACCATACTCTCCAGGTTCGACACGATATTTATCGTTAAAGACGAGCACGACGAGAAGCGAGACACAACGATGGCTCGTCACGTGATGAGTATTCACATTAATGCCTCCACGGAGACCGCGTCAGAGGGTGAACTGCCCCTCAACACCTTGAAGCGCTACGTGGCATTCGCGAGGTCTAGGTGCGAGTTAGGATCAAGGATATCTAGGAAGGAAGGTTAGGATCAAGGATTTCTAGGAAGGAAGGTTAGGATCAAGAATATCTAGGAAGGAAGGTTAGGATTAAGGATATCTAGGAAAGAAGGATAGGATTAAGGATATCTAGGAAAGAAGGATAGGACCTTTTTGACCATGAATGATCCTGAAGGTATTTGAACTCTAAATATCAATGACCTCCAGAGGTCTATTTATATAATATCAATGACCTACGGAGGTCTAAATAAAACATCAATGAAAATAAGTCATGTGAAGTATCAAATCATAGGTTTCTTGGTGTTCTGAATCCAGTATTGAGATTCTTTTCAGGCCGGTTGTTGCAAATGTTTTTGACCTCAAAGTATCAATGACCTCAGGAGGTCAAAATGTACTTTTCTTTTAAATTTAGATTCAATTAAAATGGGGATTGTTACGAATTAAATCGTAGGTTTCTTACTATTCTAATTTCATTCCGAGCTCCCGATTCAGATTCAGATTCAGATTCAGATTCAGATTCAGATTCAGATTCAGATTCAGATTCAGATTCAGATTCAGATTCAGATTCAGATTCAGATTCAGATTCAGATTCAGATTCAGATTCAGATTCAGATTCAGATTCAGATTCAGATTCAGATTCAGATTCAGATTCAGATTCAGATTCAGATTCAGATTCAGATTCAGATTCAGATTCAGATTCAGATTCAGATTCAGATTCAGATTCAGATTCAGATTCAGATTCAGATTCAGATTCAGATTCAGATTCAGATTCAGATTCAGATTCAGATTCAGATTCAGATTCAGATTCAGATTCAGATTCAGATTCAGATTCAGATTCAGATTCAGATTCAGATTCAGATTCAGATTCAGATTCAGATTCAGATTCAGATTCAGATTCAGATTCAGATTCAGATTCAGATTCAGATTCAGATTCAGATTCAGATTCAGATTCAGATTCAGATTCAGATTCAGATTCAGATTCAGATTCAGATTCAGATTCAGATTCAGATTCAGATTCAGATTCAGATTCAGATTCAGATTCAGATTCAGATTCAGATTCAGATTCAGATTCAGATACAGATACAAATACAGATACAGATACAGATACAGATACAGATACAGATACAGATACAGATACAGATACAGATACAGATACAGATACAGATACAGATACAGATACAGATACAGATTCAGATACAGATACAGATACAGATACAGATACAGATACAGATACAGATACAGATACAGATACAGATACAGATACAGATACAGATACAGATACAGATTCTATTTCATTATAAGACTTAACTAAACCTAACACCATCTTTTGCAAAATATACGAAACATATTCTGTAAAATCCGCAAACTCATAAATCTCCTAAAGATATGATTTTTTAAAATTCCACGGGCACTTGAGCTTGCAAATAATAAAAACTATTGTATTGTAGTTGGAAGCTGTTGTAAGAATTAGTGAATCTCTGGCTAAGATGGAATTGAAACCTTTTGCAACGGCAAAACATGTTGACGAAGCACTCCGACTTTTCCAGGTATAAATTCAACAAACAAATATCATTTAACCACTTTTTGTTCAACTTCACAAAGCCATGATATAACCCATGATGTAACTGTTCCATGGGACAAATAAGTAGAATAACAACCCGCGCAGCTAAGTTTTCCTGATAAGCTCAAAAGACGATAAAATTGTGTAAACCTAGAAATTACATTTTTTTACTTAACTTCCCCATAAAGTAATTGACTATTACCACCAATTACAAAATTTTCTGTTTCCCGGGAAATATTTCAATTAACAAATAAGTATTGATCTCTGTTTGTCTGATTGTTTTTATGTCCGATCATAACAAAGGAACCCCTTGACCTATTTGTCTCAAATTTTGATTTTGGGGAACTCAGTAGAATCAGTGAAATGTTTCAATATTGGTTTATTAATCTAATTCTTAGTTGAGTGGGTTGACTTGTATAGTAGGGTACGGTGAAATTAAACAAATCTTTTTTTCGTTTCTTATCATTTTTTTTCCGTAAAATTCAATTTTTAGAACAATTTAGAAAAACGCGTTTTTTGATTGGAAGACATCTTGATTCCCAAATTTGGACTTTTATGTACCGCATTTTTCATGAAATTTACGAAAATCCAGAAACTATCTTTGTCAATTTTTTAGCTACAGAAATTTTGTTAACCGAAAAATATCCACAAATAGTGCTTCAGTGGGGGCGGAAGCCATAAAAAATGTAGTTTGTTCTGAAACGAATGAATTATGAACACATTTTTGTTCTATATTTTTATCGAATTTTCGAATATCTTGGTCTTTACAATAGTATCTGCCCTAGACTTATGAATGTTTTAAACTTGGGCATTATCTCTCTATGTTGGAGCCTAGATGTAATGAATCCATTCCTGAGCCCGCAATTTAAAAAAAAATCGGGAAAATACAGCTCAAGTGTAAGCTGTTGTTGGGCCTTATTTACGGCTTGGCTTTCGGATTCAAGCAGCATCTTATTTTCCAAAGAGCTGAGTTCAAAAAACCGGTTTCATATTAGCAAGGCCACAACCTTATAAGATCTTGTTTCATTGACCAGTGGAGGCATCCATGAACCAGTATTCACATGTAGTCTCTCCAATGAAGAAATCACAAACATTCTTGAAAAGCCATATGTAGGTCCAGATTATAAAGTTCATTTACAGAGTACAGGGTGTCCCAATAAACATGGGAATTCAGTGACGAATTCCATATCGTCTTTTTAAATAATTCTTTGATTTATTATAAGAATATGAAACCGGTTTTTTGAACTCAGCTCTTTGGAAAATAAGATGCTGCTTGAATCCGAAAGCCAAGCCGTAAATAAGGCCCAACGACAGCTTAGACTTGAGCTGCATTTTCCCGAATTTTTTTTTATTGCGGTCTCAGGAATGGATTCATTTCATCTAGGCTCCAATATAGAGAGATAATGCCCAAGTTTAAAACATTCATAAGCCTAGGGCGGATTCTTTATATGATATTCATATGTTTCATACCATTTTCACTGTACCCTAGTATAGGGTAAGTTAGTTACCAGGCAAAGCTGGGTCCAAAGCTTGTTTCTACATAAATACAAGCGTTTTAAATGTTAAAATAAATGTTTAAGAGAAGGAAAAGAGGGAATACATTTTGTAATTTGAGGATCCAAGTTTCATTTGAATATCATTCTCACTTAAAAATCTCTATTATTGCAGGTTTCAACTCTAACCTCCGCTATGAGCGGAGATCTATCTGGAGCCGAGGGATTTACAACGGAGGAGGATCAGGAGATCATCCAGAGGATCGAGAAGCAGCTCAAGAAGAGGTTTGCTGTCGGGTCCCAGGTGTCAGAGCATACCATCATGGGAGACTTCGCTAAACAGAAGTACCCGGAGAAAGCGATCACCAAGGTTATTCACGCCATGGTGAGGAGAGGAGAACTTCAGTACCGGAGACAGAGGAAGATGTTGTTCCGTCTTAAATAGAGATCTTTTCAGGAGTATTTCAAGATTTTAACATTAACAGTGATACCGCTCAATACTAGTGTAGTTTTGGACTAAACAGAGAGATATTTCCCGGCGTGATCATTATTTTTATATTTTACAGAAAATTATGTCTGGCGTGAGCGTTGAGGATATTCAGGAGGAGTTTGCTGATTTGGATCTGGATATCACGGATGGAGATGTTCTTCTCAAAATTAAGGTTGGAAGGTTGGAAGTTGGAAGGAAGGATATGATCAAGGATTTCTAGGAAGGAAGGTTAGGATCAAGGATATCTAGGAAGGAAGGTTAGGATCAAGGATTTCTAGGAAGGAAGGTTAGGATCAAGAATATCTAGGAAGGAAGGTTAGGATTAAGGATATCTAGGAAAGAAGGATAGGATTAAGGATATCAAGGAAGGAAGGTTAGGATCAAGGCTATCAAGGAAGGAAGGTTAGGATCAAGGATATCTAGGAAGGAAGGTTAGGATCAAGGATATCTAGGAAGGAAGGTTAGGATCAAGGATATCTAGGAAGGAAGGTTAGGATCAAGGATATCCAGAAAGGAAGGTAAGAATCAAGGATATCAAGAAAGGAAGGTTAGAATCAAAGATATCTAGGAAGGAAGGTTAGGATCAAGGATATCTAGGAAAGAAGGTTAGGATCAAGGATACCTAGGAAGGAAGGTTAGGATCAAGGATACCTAGGAAGTTAGGTTAGGATCAAGGATATCTAGGAAGGAAGGTTAGGATCAAGGATATCTAGGAGGGAAGGTTAGGATCAAGGATATCTAGGAAGGTTAGGATTTAGGATATCTAGGAAGAAAGGTTAGGATCAAGGATATCTAGGAAGAAAAGTTAGGATCAAGGATATCTAGGAAGAAAGGTTAGGATCAAGGATATCTAGGAAGGAAGGTTAGGATTAAGGATATCTAGGAAGGAAGGTGTTCATGGAGCACCGGACCCATTCATTTTTGCTCATTTAAAGTTTTTTTTAAATATCCCATTTTTTGTAATATTGAAAATTTATTCAAGTTTTAAATAGGTTTTTTTTTACTTTTGATGATGGTAATTTTGAAATAATTAATATGTACTTTTCATTTAGTTATTTATTTATGAAATTAACAACATGCACAAGGAATATCAATGTTTGACAGGATTAAATTGTTAATTTATTGTATTAATTTTTTCTAAACTCGAGGATGGCCATCTATTTATTCAAACATTTTAAGTGATAAACTTAGAAACGAAAGGTTTTAATGTGATTTGCTGGGTTTCTGTCACTGATCTCGGATATGCAGATCTGCAGAACAATCGGGGGCATAGTGTCCCTCATCCACGAGGGTAGATAGTCCTAAGCCCAAACACTCAATAAGAAATTAATAAGGGAAGGTTAGGATCAAGGATATCTGGGAAGCAAGGATATCAAGAAAGGAAGGTTCGGATATCTAGGAAGGAAGGTTAGGGTCAAGGATATCAAGAAAGGAAGGTTCGGATATCTAGTAAGGAAGGTTAGGATCAAGGATATCAAGAAAGGAAGGTTAGGGTCAATCAAGGAGAATTGAATAGAAGGAGGGGGCGATAGGGTTTCCGTACACTTTGCTGTGACGTTTTTGGACTGCTGAAGAACTAGTTTTTGCGTAACAACGATAATAAAGATTGTAAACAATAACACAAATGATAAACAGACATCTGGCGCATCTCTGGCGTTAGATGAAGATTCACCGTATACTAACTCATGTTTGATTACATTAGATCGGCTGCCTTTGTTATTGTTGTTACGCAAAAACTAGTTCTTCAGCAGTCCAAAAACGTCACAGCAAAGTGTACGGAAACCCTATTGCCCCCTCCTTCTATTCAATTCTCCTTGGGGTCAATGAGTCAATGATACCTAGGGAAGGAAGACTTAGGTCAAGAACATCCAAGTAATTATTATTAATTGCGAAACTTCATCTTGCTATTTAGGAGTTGTGTGATTTCTACAATATCGACGCAAACAAGATTTCCTGTGAATATTTCTCCTACAATACTAAATCCAAACTTCACACTGGGAAACCCCCAACCCTGGACTCTCTGGTGTCATTTGAATCTGAGAAATTGAAACATTTGCGAGGACCACGCCGCCCTCTGGATCCTATTGAGGGGGTGGAGAACTTACCTGATTGCCCGGAGTTGGGAACGCCCACTAGGCTCACTGCGGCGGGTGCAGGCAAGAGAAATATTACTCCAGATGGTCAAATCAATAAAAGGTGATTTTCTTTCATTGTGAGGGACTGTCTACCTAGTTTCAACTGACCCTCCATTAAAAGAGACACAACGACACCCTAACCTTAGTCTGAGCAAACATGTTAACGATATCCTAGTTTTTCTATCTAAAAATGGATAAATTTAAATGTGGTTTTTCTATAAATATTACGGATTTACCTTATTTGATACTTTTTTATCTTAATTTAAAGCTATTTTTGAAATACTTTAATTTTGTCAGGTTTGTGAATGCTATCGGGAGTCCGAGTCTAACTCCCCAATCCTCTCCCAGCTTGAACAGTTCTCAAGTTACCCTCAAGTACTCAGACAGATCAAACAAGGGAGAAACCGTCCTAGCTCACAGCAAAGACGCACCCGGAGATTGGACCCCGTCCAACGACCCTGCTGAGATATCTTTAAAAGCCCTAACCCTAACCTCTCCGTATAGGTTTATGTATGAACGGCTGAGGGAACGAGCTGCTGTCTTGGATGAGACTATCTGTAGGTTGGGAGATATTATCACGGAGAAGTATGATCTAGGAGAACCTATGGACACAAGGTTAACACAGGTTGAACCTCAGGTTGCCCTAGGACGAATCTGTTGTGACTCCGAGGGGCATTTGAACAGTAACTCCGTTGTGCTGCAAGGCTCCATGGACGCAACGGGAGGACATTCTATACATTTGGATCTTTCCAAACTTGATTCTTATTCTCTCTTCCCTGGACAGATTGTCGGTGTAGAGTGTACCAATCCTAACGGGAGTAAACTCCTCGTGAGTAAACTTTACTCAGAGCTCCCAACTCCTTCTCCTGTGCCTGTAGAGAAAGATCAGTGTACGGAGATATACACAGCCTGCGGACCCTACACCTTGAACGACTCGGATAACTACCAACCTCTCCTTGATCTCCTGGATATAGTTCAGGAAACCCGTCCTCATCTTCTTATCCTAGTCGGACCCTTTGTAGACTCTAGGAACAAGGTTATAGACGCTCACACTGATTCCTACCATCAAATCTTTGAGACAATGTTGAAGCAGATCTACTCAGCCCTGGAGGAAACAAGGACGGAGGTTCTCCTGGTTCCGTCGCAGAGAGATCTTCATGAAAACTTTGTTTATCCTCAACCTCCATACAGTCTTGGAGAACCTAGCCCTTGGGGGAGCAAAATAAGGTTCGAATATATACTTTCATACTAGGACAGGGAGATTTCAGAAGTGTATACTTTCATACATGTTAGGACAGGGAGATTTCAGAAGTGTATACTTTCATACATGTTAGGACAGGGAGNCCCCCCGTCCCGCTGTTTGAAAATCTTCTATTTTCTCCAAAAGTTAGCAGCGAGTTTTCTTCGTTTAATTGATGTTCAATTTTTCACTTACCTCCAATTTTTTAAAAATCATTCCCCTCTTCTCCAAATAATACACCTCTTAGAGATTTTGTGGCAGGTGTAAGTAGTGTGGCAGATTTTATGAACTTGGATACTTTTTTGTTGCGTAATATATGTGTCTAAATGTAGCAGCTAAGTGGAATTTTATTTGGTTGTAATGTACAATGTACATTTATCAATTAATACTGGTAGAACTTACAAAAACTATCATATTTTTAAAATGGCAAACTGACAGCAATTTTCAGCATTAAATAGTCGTTAATAAGAAATCTTTAAACCAATATGGGGATCAATAGTGCTTATTCACAGAGATTAAAAGAGATTAACAGAGATTAACAGAGATTGACAGAGATTAACAGAGATCAACAGTGCTTATTCACAGAGATTAACAGATTAACAGAGATTAACAGAGATTATTAAAAAAGTCCTTATCTCTGAATGGTTCTTCAAGTAAAAGGTTTTTAAAAAATCAAGTTGTTGCATAAAAATAAGTGAAAAAAGTTTGAAAACTAATTAGAAAATTATTTTTTAAATCATAAAATCTTGAATAAATGTTCATTACCTGGATCCGAATCCTTTTTCCAGTGTTTTTTCAGCTTGCCATTTATTTAAAAAAAATATTATTTTATTAGGTATACTATTAGATAACTGGGTCTTAAGCTTGGTTTCAAATTCAACCCACTATACATAAATATTACAAACATACAAAAAGAATATTTAAAAAACTATATTTTAGATCTGTGTCTGATCCTGGAGTATTTAGTGTAAATGGAGTAAATATTGGTGTCACATCTTCAGATATTCTTTTTCATCTTGGACGTGAGGAGATCAGTTTTCCTCCTAGAGCCGGAGACAGGTTAGTTTTATCCTTCCTGGACTAGGTTTGCTTATCTGGATGAAATGTGATTTTCTGAGACTGAGCATTTCTGTTAACAATATATTTTCAAGCAGAAACTATTTAACATTAAATGATTTGGAAGGTATTAATGATTATCTCATTGGGTAAAACAAATTGAGTAATTGAAACTTTGCCGCTTGCATCCGGATCCGTAGATCTGCATATTGTTGTGGATCCGGATCTTAAGCACTGGTTCAAAAGATACCTTTTCTGAGTAACTTAAGACGGAAAATTCCGCAGCGGGTTCTAGTTTTTAATGAAAAACAATTCTGTAATTGTTAATTCCATAAAAAGTTAAAGAAAGAGGACTGTGTTGAGTGTAGACATAATTTATGTTTTATTGAACAAGATTGACATGTTTGATTCACAACGGTACCCTCTAAAGTTTTGAACAAGACTGCTTAAGAAATTCATCCAATTGTTCCCCTAAAATGGCTTGCGCATTTCTGCTTCAGAAACAACGGGGAGCATTGTTGGAATTAAACAATTCAAGTTGGAAAACGACGATATCTTCCACAATTGATCAGAAAAGGGTTTAAAGAGTACATTTGTGAATCAGGCGTGTCCCTCTTTCTATGGAGGTTCTCTAGTAATTACAAAAACAGTTTCTTCAAAATGTTAATTTATTAAAATATTTAGGCTGTCAAGATTAGTATCACACCTTCTGTCACAGCGGAGTTATTATCCTCTCTACCCTCCGAGCCTGGAGCAAAACATAGATTTCGAGCACCAGGAGAAACATGGACTCCTCCAGGAGCCTCCACACCTTCTCCTCCTTCCCTCTGACCTGGTTTACTTCATCCGAGATGTGGAGGGATGTACAGTGTTAAATCCAGGACGGATAACTAAAGGTTCAGCTCCTGGAACATATTCTAAACTCCTTGTCCAGGTTCAACAAGGGAAATTATCCTTTACAGCTGAGATTGTAAGAATATAGAAGCAATATGTAATATAAAGATTTAAGATTATATAGTAGTGATCTTGACTATATGATTTATGTATAAAATATATTATGATTATATGATCTTGAAACCTGGGAGAGTCATAAAATAAAAGTTTATTTAGTTTTAAATATTTTAAATTTAGACGAAATATTTACCTTGTATTAACCTTCACAGACTTTTAAAACAGTATTTGGGAATCGATATTTTACCGCTATTTGACAAACATTACCGACCTATGATTCCCTTAACAGATTAACACTATGTTACCTAATGTCCCTTAGAACAAATAAGTAAAATAATGACCCGCTTTGCGTAGTTTTTGTGAAAAATGTGTGTATTACTTTTTACGGGAATTAAACCTTATACTAAACCATCACCAATTTTGCCTCCAAACATTCCTCGCTGTATTCTTAGTAAAGTAAAATTCCCACAACTTCCTTGTAAAGTAAATGTAATTATTAATGTATTTCACTGCGAATTGTGTATTTTTCAGAGACGATCACATGACTTAATAGGATAGTGGTTAACTTCCAAACCAATAAGGCGATAAATAATTAAGGAAAAAACAGGATCCGAGATGTCCAATTCTGGAGATATCTTAGATTTATCTGGAAACCTGGCCAAAATGTCTGTAGCAACCACCAAAGTAGAGAAGAACTACATGTTGAACCTCAAGATCGGCTACACCAAATGCTTCTCCTGCAGATATGATATTGGTTTCTCCAAGGATGCGTTGGTTTGTAACTGTAGTTTACATTGGTACTGTAGTACACAGTGCAGGGATCAATGTAAGGTGCCTTCAAAGTTGTGAACTTGTCAGCTGTACATCTCTAGACTCATTCTACTCTGCGATCCTAGTTTATTATGACATGGAGACTCTGAACATGGTTAAAGAGTACATAAGTTCTCAAGAAGGAGTATCCAGGGAAGATATGAAGAAGCTGGCTGAGGCAGGGGACTGGAAAGCTGCTCTGATCATTGGTTTAACCTATGAGTTCAGGTTTGTCCTTGACTGGGATGAATGTAAGCTAGCACTCCGTCCTCCCTTCATGAAGAGCCGACCTTTTAGTCACAGGAAAGCTATAAAATACTACAACATGGCTGCAAAAGAGAAATCTGTTGAAGTATTTGCTGCATTAGGAAGCGTACTAGTTACACAGGAGGATATGAGACGGGCAATGAAAGATATTCTCATGAAGAGTTTTAACAGGTTCAAGAGTTCTCAGATGCTTCTGCACGACGTGTGTTTCCTAGAGCTAGACATCATATTATCATATATCAAGGAGGAGTATAAACAAGGAGAAGAACTGAAGGTACCTCTTTCCGGTATTACAGGAGTTATTCTGTTCAGATTAATTCTTGTAGATGATTTCAGATCCTCAAACAGTCTTCTCAAGGAACTGCTACTCTTCCCCAAGATAGCAATAGCAAAGGTCTATTCTTTTCTGAATTCTTGTAATCCTGAATCTAGGATAGTAAGTGTCTCTGTAAATAACCCTATCCCGGGGGATGATGGTTCATTTAGACCAGTGGAGAATCCTATCTTTATCCAGAAGGCTGATCTCTGGAGGATAATACTGTAGCTAGGATAGATCCTGGAGTAAGGATGGATGCTAAGGCTGTATTTGATCAAGGATATTTACTGAGACTGCACCATGATCAGACAATGTATCTGTGTGAGCATAATGTTCAGAGTATTGGGAACACCTGCACTCCATGTGCTCAGATGGCTCGGGAAAGGATTCTGACAGAGTGTTTATGAGAACAGTTTTCTCTTCAGTAAAGATGAAGCAATCTGTAGAGTTGTCTACAGTGTTATTTTTACCCTGGAGTCAGGATTGAAGAAACAAGATTACGTCTGGAACTATGGAAAATATGAGATCATAACTGCTATCCGTGTCATGGCTCTTCAGCCCATGGATCTACATCCTGTAAAGCTTGCTAAGTATCCCACCATATACTGGCCAATTGTTCACTACTATGGGTCTGTGTACTCTGCGTTGAAGGAAATCCTGGATGGAAAGACGGTTGACAGTATCTATGATAGTATCCCAGAGTTTACACCTGTGCCAGAGAGAAGAAATATAGTTGATGAGGAACAGTTTGTGATCAAATGTGGACACAACTCCTGTGTTCATCTTGACTGGGAGTTTAAGTTCAAGCAATGCACCAGGGGTAAGCTGAGACGATACTGTAGTCCAAGCTGTCAGAAGCTTGACTGGAAAGTACACAAGAAGGAATGCTTTCTCCGTCCTGGAATGGAGAATACAGATGCAGAGGTGGATTAGGAGTTATAAAGAACTGAGTCCTGTTATACCAGGTACCTTGAGTTCCTGGATCCAGATCTTAACACAGAGACAGAAATCCGGTAAATTGTTTAATCTAATAATTAGATATTATTCTTTGTAAACTATTGATCTCTTAATATTTGTATTTCAAGTTTCTTTGGTAATTCATGTTGTAAAATGAAGGAGTACAATTTATTGTTATTGTATTTCCAAAATCATTTTTTTCCAGATTTAGAAAATGTACAAATATGTTTTGTTGCATGAGGAAGATACACATCACACTATTTAGTCAGTAGGTAGTTAGTTTCCTGTTTTATATCCGTCCTAATACTTATCATCAATCTCCTTGGATATTAGGTAGTTACGTTCTAGTTCTAATTTTAATATCCGTCCTAATACTTATCATCAATATTCTTGGATATTAGGTAGTTACGTTCTAGTTCTAATTTTAATATCCGTTCTAATACTTTTTTAATATCTAAATATTTATTTTAGTAAAGCTTATCGTTTGCATACATACTAATTTATGGTTAGGTTTCGTTACATTCATCATTACAATAGCTTACTACTTTAACATACATTATTACAATTAATTGTATATACCTATAATGATGTGGAATAATTCTATTTGAGTGTTAAAAATTGTTTGCACTCCGCGGCCAAAAATGCGTTTAATTCTTCAATTTTTTTATGTTGTTCATTTCTCTGCTCCCTTTCCCTTTGCGCAGATGACTGACCAGTTCTCTTGGAACTGGATACAGATTTTTTCTGGGATATTATTATAGACTGGGGAGTTTCCTGGGATTTTACCAGGGGGGTCCCAAGATACTCCATCTTGGGACCTCACGGCGAAAATGGGAGTCTCCTGGGTTCTAACAATGGAAGTGGTAGTACTCTCTTGGGACCTTACAACGTAAGTGGGAGTCTCTTGGATCACGGAAGTGGGCGTCACTTGGGACATCACCACAGAACTGGGAGTCATCTGGGACATCACCACGGAACTGGGAGTCAAGTGGGACATCACCACGGAACTGGGAGTCAGCTGGGACATCACCACGGAACTGGGAGTCATCTGGGACATCACCACGGAACTGGGAGGTGTCTGTGACATCACCACGGAACTAGGAGTCATCTGGGACATCACCACGGAACTGGGAGTCAACTTGGACATCACCACGGAACTGGGGGTCATCTGGGACATCACCACGGAACTGGGAGTCATCCGGGACACAACCATGTTCGTAAGAGTCTGCATTGACCTCACCATAGGTGCTTGGAAGTTGGGATGGTTTCATTTTCTTTTAATTTTTTTCTGCTCTTTCTCACCCTTTTCTTTCTGTTCGGCATCCTGGAAAGAGACTGGGGGAGGGTACCGAGGGTTTGGGAGAAGGAAAAACATTCTTTACCTCCTCTAGACCATAACCTCAGCTACACAGATTCACCGGCCTTCACAAATTCCTGGTATAGAGCCAGGACCCGCTGTATTGAACCCATATTTATGTGTTAAGTTGAAACAGGTTGACCAGAATCCCATTCTAAGCAACATTATTAATCTTATCCGTCCCTGCAAGATAGGATTTTTATCCCATTCTAAGCAACATTATTAATCTTATCCGTCCCTCCAAGATCAGATTTTTATCCCATTCTAAGCAACATTATTAACCTTATCCGTCCCTGCAAGATAGGATTTTTATCCCATTCTAAGCAACATTATTAACCTTATCCGTCCCTGCAAGATAGGATTTTTATCCCATTCTTAGCAACATTATTAACCTTATCCGTCCCTGCAAGATAGGATTTTTATCCCATGTTAAGCAACATTATTATTCTTATCCGTCCCTGCAAGATCAGATTTTTATCCCATTCTAAGCAACATTATTAACCTTATCCGTCCCTGCAAGATAGGATTTTTATCCCATTCTAAGCAACATTATTAATCTTATCCGTCCCTGCAAGATAGGATTTTTATCCCATTCTAAGCAACATTATTAATCTTATCCGTCCCTACAAGATAGGATTTTTATCCCATTCTAATCAACATTATTAATCTTATTCGTCCCTGCAAGATAGGATTTTTATCCCATTCTAAGCAACATTCTTATCAACATTATCAACATTATTAACCTTATTATATCAATATATATAAAGTTAGTCTGTCAGTCTGTTTGTTTGTCCGATCAAAACTCAAGAACCTCTTGATCGATTTGCCAAAAATTTTGATTGAAGGAACTTGGGAGAACCACGGGAATGTTCTTAGCTTGGTTTTGAGATTATAAATTGAGTTGTTCGAAAATTTAGTTTCCGGTGCGGGTAAACGGTTGGGAGTAATTATGAGCACCCTTGGCAACTCTTGGTTTCCAAGCTAGTATATTATACATGTTATATACACATCTAGGTTTAGATGATAAACTTCTAGGTTCAGGTGATAAAATTCTAGGTTCAGGTGATAAACTTATAGGTTCAGGTGATAAACTTATAGGTTTAGGTGATAAACTTATAGGTTTAGGTAATAAACTTATAGGTTTAGATGAGAAACTTATAGGTTCAGGTGATAAACTTCTAGGTTTAGATGATAAACTTTTAGGTTTAGATGATAAACTAAGTTTACATGATTGACTCCATGATTTAGGTGATAAACTACATCAAGACACGTTCGGTGAACACCATATTCAAGACATACCTACCAAGAATCCCAAAGTTTGATATCACCTTAGCTATGGATTTGATTAGAGTCAATCCCCTGAATCATGGAGTTTAACATCTGATCCTAAGAGTGTATCAGTAAAACATTGCAATTTTCATTTAAACCATGGTAATTATCACCTGAACTAAGGAGTTCATGATCTTAACCGTAGAGTTAATCATCTAAACAATGGACTTAATTGCTTGAACCATTGACTTAACATCCAAACCATGGAATATTTCACATATACTTAGAAGTTTATCATCTAAACCTTGGAGTATGTCACCTGAACTATAATCTCACTATCCAAATATTATTCTGTGTAAATTATCCAATTGTTTAGATCCTCTTGATTTCTAGTTATTTGTTTATCATAGTTTTCCTTGTAACCTGGGGGAATCCTGGGAGCAGCTGAGAAGAATGTTGGTAGAACCTGGGGGGAATCCTGGGAGAACATGAGAAGAATATCGGTAAAACCTGGGGGAATCCTGGGAGAACCTGAGAAGAATATTGGTAGAACCTGGGGGAATCCTGGGAGTACATGAGAAGAATATTGGTAGAACCTGGGGGAATCCTGGGAGAACCTGAGAAGAATATTGGTAGAACCTGGGGGAATCCTGGGAGAACCTGAGAAGAATGTTGGTACAACCTGGGGGAATCCTTGGAGAACCTGAGAAGAATGTTGATAGAACCTGGGGGAATCCTGGGAGAACCTGAGAAGAATGTTGGTAGAACCTGGGGGAATCCTGGGAGAACCTGAGAAGAATGTTGGTAGAACCTGGGGGAATCCTGGGAGAACCTGAGAAGAATGTTGGTAGAACC